GCTGCTAATGGGACTAACTGGTATATTGAGCTTTTCCCAAATCCTGTAGGAAGAAGGGCAATAACGTCTTTCTCCTTGATAAAATTCACCAAACATTCTCTTTGTTCTGACTTTAAATCTTTGATCTCAGGAATCGTTGCCAACACAGAATATATGACTCTTCACTGATTGGCTGGTGCCTGAAATTGCACTTCATGCAAACCATCTCGTCTGGTGTATTCTGATTCAAACACATTCTCCTGGTGTCTAGTTGCTGGAGAGAAATGAAATTGAGCGGAGGCACTAGGTGGCACCAGCCTGGCTAAGAAAACACTCTGCTCCCCCTTGCTCCACTGTGTTTTTAAAGTCCACACACCTTCTCTAGAATCATTTGGATAATTTCCCACCCTTGAATTGTCTTTCTTTATTAAACAACTTGAAATTGTTTACTTGAAAATGACCACATCAGGACTTCATAAGGTGGAACAGAACATTTTGAGCTGGTGTGAAAGAAAACAAGAGACAACTCCAGGCATGTTTTTGAGGAAGTAACATTCTAACATGACTTAAAGCTCACAAGAGTCACTTTTGTGTAATATAGGACCTTAAGCCAAAAACGACATCTAATCTAATGAAAGATGATTCTAAATGGTCATATATTCATCTTTTCTACCCGTGTATTTTAACCTTGCCAAATTCAAAACAAAATATCATACCTTTTGAATTGTGAAAAGTGCTCAAAATAGCAGCTACAAACAGAACTGAAACCCTTTAACATGATTAGACCAAAAAAAGTAGTCCTCATTCGTTCAGCAGCTCCAAAACACCCAAGTGTGTCTGAAACTAAAGCTCAGGTCTTGCAGCAGCCATATTGCATCAGCTCCAGAGGGGCACATCCACACACGCTCAAATGTCAGAGCATTTACCTCAAACCCACACACTCCTGTCCACCATCACACTGCCATTGATTATTTTACAGCCCCTTCAGTGCAGGCGGCCCAGCGCACACACAGGACAAAACCCCATTGTTTCTTTTATGACAATGCAGAGAATACAGGCGTGCTGCTTTATGGAGAGTCTGATTGATTGATGAGATTATCTTCATTTTATGCACTACAGCTCAGTCTCCGGTACTTCATCATCAGCAGCTACCTCCACCTATACCAAGACTTTAAAGGTCCTATAGTACATGGAATTTACTCCTGTGAGCTTTAAGCCACGTTATAACGTTCTTCCAAAACATACCCGGAGTTGTGTTTTGTTTTGTTCACATATGTTTGAGTAATCTGTTATTAGTGAGTAATTTTTATAGCTCAAAATGCTCTATTCCACCTTATGATGTCATGTAGTGGTACTTTTCAAGTGGACAAACATCTATTACCTATAGCAGGCACCTCCAACCTTTTTCCTCCAGAGAACTAAACGAAATTAAACATAACGAAAATGCCAGAGAGCTACTTTTTTAGCGGTCAGAAAAAATGGTGTATATTTAAAAGCCACGGCGAGCCTTAAATGAAGTACAATTAGATACCTTTAAACATAAACCATTATCCATTTATTAGTGTACAAAGTTCTGCATCAAAATAATACATATTCAATGGTAACAGGCATTTACTTATTCAACATTCAGAAATCCCTTGGCGAGCTACTAGGAAGGGGGTGGCGGGTTACCGGTAGTTCTGGAGCTACAGGTTGGAGACCCCTGAGCTATAGTTCAGTAGAATATTGGCAATTCTGGGACTCAAATGATCCAAATGGTAAATGGTCACATTTTTCTATAGCTTTTCCACCTTCAAGGCACTCAAAGCGCTTTACAACAAGGAACCACTCACCCATTCACACGCACATTCATACACCAGTGTACGCAGACACTGTGGGCAAGGTGGGTTAAGTGTCTTGCCCAAGGACACAACGACAGCATTCATCTGTGGGAGCTGGAATCACACCAGCCAACCTGTGGGTCAGTGGATCTGACTGCTCAACCTGTGACGTTTATGTCAAGAGCAGGATTTGAACTGCCAACCGTCAGATCAGTGGGCAAATGCTCTACCAACTGAGCTACTGCCGCCCAAATCATTCAAGTGAAGGTGTATGGAGTTTAAAAACACAGAGGAGAACTTTCTTGATTACCACATGACATCACAAGGTGGAACTGAGTGTTTTCTGTTTTGGGGTTTGTGTGTTAAACATGTGTGAACGAAACAAAACACAACTTCAGATCTGTTTTTGAGGAGGTAACGACATTATAACATAGATCAGAAAATAGAGTAATATTATATCGGCCCTTATCAAATATAGTAGCTCACATGCAAACCACTAAGTCACATTTTGATGATGTCATATGGTTGTGCCCTGTTTAGAGAAAGCTATCAGTTGATGTGTAAAGGACGTCTAAATAACTTGTATTCTTATTGCATCAGGGATTTACAATGAATAACATTTAAAGCAAGATAGAGATTTAACAGTAATCGTCAGTGATCAGCTCCATTTACTGGGAAGTCCACAGCCAATCCTCTGTTACTAATAGCAGAGTTTAGACTTTAGACGAAGATTTATTCATTTATTTATTTTTTGTGCTAAATGGCATTGATTATGTTCAGAAAATGAACACTGAAATACAATTTTATTAGCTGCTGTTGAGGTCTGATATGGATGTGAGGGCATGTTGTGGATAATATAGAAGTAAGTTATGTTATATAGTAATAGAGATGTAACAATAACCACAATATTGTGATATTGTATCATCAAAAGTCTCACAATAATATCACGGGCTGTCACAATATATCGAATCACAAGTTCCAGTAGCAACAGCTTATGAACATCGGGAACTACATATCCCATGATTCATTTCAGTGCAAACAACATGAAGAGATGTTTTTTACTTGAATTTTTGGGATTATGAAAAAAATAAATCACACCAAAGTCTTGTCAAGGTATTTTAAAAGCAATAAAAGTGTCCTATCTACAATTATATCAGCCTCTTCAAAATATTGTAATAAATATCGTACCGTGAGATGCTTATTGTGATAATATCGTACAGAGAGATTTGGATATCGTTACATCTCTGTTATATAAGCATTCTGTATCTGTGGATATAGGATTTCACAATGATTAGAAACTTGGACTGTTGTCATAGCGATTAACAAAGTCCTAAAAAGGGAGTCCAAAACAGGAAACTGAAACCTGTGATTGTTTACTATTTGTCCATCAATACCAATTCTAGTATTAACAATCATTCAAATGTTGCAAAACACAGATTAAAACAATAAAAAAATATAAAATCCATGAGGGCCTATTGTCTGTTGGTCTAACATGAGTATTGGCTTCATCATAATATCATCACAAAAGCAGCGCATGCAACACATTGGCAAAAATTTGGCAACAACCCACACATTGTTGACTCTGAATTGTGCTCAAAACACATTCTCCTGGTGTCTATTTTAAGCAGGCGTTTCTTTATATTGTAACACCTCTCATTAGCGATTCATTTTGGTAGCGAGACAATAAAGTCGATATTTGCTTACGTCTAATTAAGTCTTGTGTAAAATCAAGCATGGGTGCAAGATCAATACAAGAGAGGCGTAGCAGCCATTAGGGAGGTCAGGTGATTCACAAACTGACAGTGTAAACTTCAGAAACACAGGAGCGTATCATTTTCATCTCATAGCACCACACCTGTCAAGAGAGGTTATTTTTAGATGTATTATTCAGATATGAAGTCATCCCCTGCATGAGTTTAGCCTATAGAGAAGTGCAGGTTACAGTGCCCCCGTGTGGTGGATAGGAGGTAATGCAGTCAGTTAAACAGCCATCATCGGTGTGGCCTGAGGTGAAGTGAGAGTGAGAGCAGGCTATGAGCATGGCCTGGAGCGCTGTGGCTGAGACAGAGTTTTGGCTGCAAATAGAACTGATAATTACTTCATTTTTGAGATATTAACGTATGGTGTATCAGTTTGGTCATTTCTGTTGAATGACACTGTGACAGTAAACAGCAATATTCTCATTCTTAATATTCATGAAATTTATACATGAATTGTAGTTCTAACCTTAACTGGCAATTACCCTATGTCCTTAGGTTCTTTTTTCAGACCAACAGTTTGTTTTCATACCTGACAGTTTGGACTGCTCACTAGTGCTCTTCCTCAGAGTCCGGTCAGCTGATTTATACAGGTTTTGGTCGTCCTACCAGTGGAGGCAGGACGGCAGCGGCATCTGCAGTCCGACTTCCTCAGGACAGTATCCCAGGTGTGTGAGAGTAAAAAAGGCCCCTCGTCCCGGTTTATAGTCCCGTGGGCACGTTTCCGTATTTTGATTGCCTCATTAATCCAGCGACAATGTTTGTTGAGGGGCTTTTTTACTCTCACACACCTTGAATACTGTCCTGAGGAAGTCGGAATGCAGATGGCCTGCCTCCACCGGTAGGAAAAACAGCGCCAAACCTGTTTAAATAAGCTGACCAGACACATCACAGCAACATCACATGACCACTGTGAGGAAGAGCGCTAGTGAGCAGTCCAAACTGTCAGGCATGAAAACAAACTCTTGGTCTGAAAAAAGAACCTGATAACATAAAATAAAGACCAACTAAACCTCATTGGCAATTACCCTGTCAAAGCTTGCCCCAAGCTGTGTGAATATATGAACAATTCACTCAGTTATTTATATTAATGAAAATGAATGGCAATCATACCATTTTGCTTCAGTTAGAATGCACTTATTTCATTTGACATGCAAATGGTTAAAGTCTGTACCATCAGCAATGGATTTAGGGTAAACCAAACAACACTTTATTCTTTACAGATGCACTAAGCAACAAAAAGACATTGGCAAGTGCACCTGTCACTTGCTAACCTCTCAGTGTTCACACATCTACTCAGTGATTTAGAACAAATCTTACACTTCAACATAAATATGTAAATAGATGTTTATTTCAAAACATGAGAATGATAATTATGATAAATTTCAATAATATGTTGATACAATTTTATAAGGGATAAATCTTTTTAAAAGTATTTGCTTAAATATTCCAGTACCACAAGCTCTTTCTCAGTAAAATATGTGTTCTTCGTAGACACCATGTGAACACGGCACTGCACACCACAGTTTGACACTAATCCATGGATCCAGCCACATACAGTATTAGACCTGTATGATACACTCGCATTGCTTTGTGTAGAAATTCAAAAAGTACTATTCTCTTCATTCAGGCCAAAGGTAGCTTCAGTCAGTCTGTAAAGAAATGCATAACCTTGCTTTCCTCCGAGATCCTAAAAAACAGACTCTCCTGTCTGGACGAGCTGTGGGAAGCAGAGGCGCAGCACCCTCTAGTGGCAACAGAAGAAAGTTTTGTGAAGTCAATCTGTAGTTCACTTTCATTATGTAACAGTAAAATACATTTAAAATCAAGTGATAAGAAGAGTCCAGTGTGAGTAACCTCAGAGTGACACTTAAAGGGAGACTTTGCAGAATCGTTATTTTACATTCCATAAACAAGACCTATCTGTGTCCTTAGACACGAGGTAAACATGTTCAAATCAAATATAGTTTTTACTGAGAAAAATTGTGATGTTATTTTATTCCTAATCACAAAAACAATGGATAAGATGTCCTGTTTATTTAGGTTAGAGCCTAATTTAATGTTTGGGCTCGCAAGGCAATTATCCAATCAGAAAGCACAAAGAGCCTCACATGAGTCTCTCATCTAGGTTGCCAGTTTCACAGCTGAAATCCAGTGTGTTTAAACCTAAAATGTCTCTTTCTGATCTGAACTGGTCACTAACTGAACCCCAGCACTTGCAGCCAATCATAAATCAGTGCTAGTCTGGAGGTTCTGAGCTTTCACATGGTCTGTCCTTATACTGAGAATGAGAACAACAACAATTTGTCCTCAATATGCAGGTCAAGGCACTGGCAACCCAGGTTCAGTTGTGTAGAATATTTTTATACCACCAAGAGCGCAGGCTACATACTCTAACTTTAAAGAGATGATCCTTGATCTAATCCAATTCTCTCAGGCAATTAAAAAAATATATATATATAAATATGGGCAAATGTGTGTATTGTTTACTAACAACCAAACCAAATAATTCTCACAATTCTCACAGATCTGAACCATAAAATACCTTATTATCAACTGCTGTTAGAGTTAAATGAGCTCCCATGACTCACAAAAACCCCAAAAGCCCAGAGTAAATATAAGATGGTTAAACTTGGAGAAAAACACAATTAGAATGTTTGCTGTTTTCTGCTTCCCACAGCTGGCAGCCCTCTCCAGTCTCGTGCTCCGCTCAGGTCCGGTTCACAGTGGGCGGGTTTGTGTTGGTCCTGTCCACAGTGTTGAGCGCTCGTGTCAGGTTAGCCTTCTGTCTGTCCAGGCTGGAAGTGTTTCGTGATTGGACCATTCCCTGTTGGTTTCCACGGTTACGCTCCAAACTGGTGGAAGTACGCGACTGGACAGTCCTCTCCCCTGTTAGCGTGTTCACAGAGCGCACCTCATTGGATCGCCCTCTGTCCAAACTGTTATTTAACTGGCTGCCACATCCTTCCAAACTCACTCCTGATTGGTTAGCCCTTGCCGCCACCTGCTGCTGATTGTTCAAAGTTTGGAGTTGGCTCGACCTTTCCCGGTCAGGAATTTTCGGCTGGATTGAGCTACTCCTGTCCGTGTTTATAGTTTGTATCCTCTGTCTTTCCAAACTCGTATCTCTTCGTACAAAGCCGCTCCTCTCTCTTTCAATGCTGTTCTGGATCTCAGCTCGCCTGGCCAAAGCTTCTCGTAATTGGGTTCGGTAAGTTTCAATTTTCCCTTGCAATTCCTGGAGCTCCCCTTCCCATAGACTGGCCTGACCCGTCCTGCCCCCCAACGGAGACAGGACCAAACCAGTGGAGGCCAGTGATGACGGTGGACCCCCGTTAGCATGGAGGCTAATGTGACTGGGCGACGCGAATCCGGTAAGGCTTCCCAGGCCAAGCCCGCCCATGCCCAGCCCGGGTCGGCCCACCATCCCCGGGCGGCCGCGGACAGAGGCGGTGTGGGTGCGGAGGCGGTAGCTGTGAAGCGTTTCCAGGTCAAAGTGCACGCGTTTCTCCTTGTGGTCTAAAGACGGGGAGGAGGAGGCGCCCGTGTCGATCCCTGTGAGCGAGGCAGGAAGTGATGTCGGAGGCGAGGGGGGCGGGGCCTGGTGCTGCTTCCTGTGCAGGGTGCAGTTCTCTGAGATGCAGGAGGATGGTCTGGAGGAAAGATAAGAGACATATTGAGTGTGATGAAGGATATCTAAAAATATTTACGATGAAACAGCCATGTGGCGTTCTCATATAACACCACTAGATGCTATCTACATTACAGCAGTGTGATAATGTGGCAGCTTTGGTCTGACAGACGACCAGAGAGCACAGGTGAGTCTGAGCAGGTTTCATATCTGACATCTACTAGTGAAGAAAAATCTAATAAACTTACAGACGACACTTTTAAGACTACAGGATATTGGAAAACTATATTTTAAACACATGAAATACTACAATATTATTATCATCAGATACTGATACTGACTGAGGTATTTAATGTGAAAATATGCAAAATTATTCATTACACTACTCAAAAAAAATGTTATTTCTATGTAAATTTAACTAATTAACATATAGTTCAATAACATAACATTTTTATATCAATTCAAGCTGAGGTGAAGTCAAGATAATGACCCAAGGAAAAGTGCTTTAGAGTTTCAGGAGTTTCAATGCATTTTAATACAAACTCGTATTGACAATTGACCCCTCTGCCCCTTTTCTAGTCCCACCTCAAAACCCACATTTAAATTAGTTTATTCTGTCTAATGTTCTAATAGGCTCTATTCACACTTATGTCACAAACCAGGAAGACGTTGGGAAAGATGTGATTACAATTTCTGGTGTAGTTACTGACAAAGGGCTCAGCTAACATGGATCTACTAAAACTGACTGTGATAGAACTTATTGAAGTAAATGTGATCAGTGGTAAAATGAAGCCTGCATATTCAATTCAATTCAATTTTATTTTTTTCCACAATTTTAAATTATAATCCCACAAGGCACAGCTTTATACATACATATAAATATGTACATGCATTTGACATATATATTATGTATGCCATATGTGTCAAGTGTGAAAAAAAACAAAACGTGAATACCCAAAGAAGCTGGGCAAGCTTGTGTATACAGGGTCCATCAGCCTGACGTGATTAATTTAGTTTTGTTAAAATCACAACCACAGACAAGACAGAAAATTAATAATAATAATGATAATAACAGATGCAAAAAGAAAAAAACTACAAAAAACAAAACAATGCAAAACAAATAAATATAAGTGCAAGAGAAGAAAAAAATAAGAATAATAAAAATGAAATAAGAACATTTTAATAAAAGAAATGATCCCATTTCCACTTTTCTACGTACGTACGCATACACATGTGCTGTTTGGAATCATCTTGAATGTGGCGACCTCGTCTCTTCTAATTTCCTGTACCCAGTGCGTTCGGAGTTGTGTGTCAGAGGGGAAAGGATAAAAACTGAGGTATGGTTGTAATTGTTGATTAGCCAAACATAACAGAACACTGCAATGATATTTAGATGAAGAAAACTGATGCTGGGAAGTTGTAATCGCATCTTTCCAAACGTCTTCGTGGTTTGTGACGTAAGCGTGATTAGAGCTTTTAGTATTCATGTTGTTTTTATTGTGTTTATGCCCTGTAAAGTGATCTTGGGTGTTAAAAAAAAAAGTATTATTATCTTCTTCTTATTAAAACCGTATTACTTTGTATTTAATTCACTGGTATTGTCCATTACTAATTCCGTGTATTCTGACTACAGTGTGACCTGCAGTGAACAGGTTTGCTCCACAGCTCTTTTACTTGTTTTGGCTGATGCACCTCTCAGGACTTTGTTTTACACTTTTTCAAACAAGACGGTGAATTTCGATCCTGATCTCTTCTCAAAATCATTCAGTCTTTATTAGAACGGTGCTACGCCTTTATATTTGCTCAATAAATTCCTCTCTGGCATAAATCTGAAGAGTTGACTCATTTGTTATTGGGAACTAAATGCCCCTTTAATGGCTCTTCTCAGAAAAATGGTTTCATGCTCGGAGTATTATGGTCTAGACGAGACTTTATGATTGTCTTTTTTCAATGTCAGACACTTACATTGCGTTGCTAATGGTAACCGCATTGAACAAAAGTCACAAGGCATTACCGCAGGTGAAATGAACAAAACAAATTCTCAAAACGCCCCAAAAGAGACACGTCAAATTGAAAAATGGGCCTTACTTCTCCTCAAAGCCTGTCAGCTCCTTCCCCACGTCCTCGTATGTGGTGTGCAGCGCCCGGTGGATTTTCTAGAAGCAAAAAAGAGATTCTGAATACACAAAGATTGCATAATTTTCAATCACTCCATCACCTCCTTTGAACTAATGATGGAAAATTTGACTTGTAAGTGAAATCTTTCCACTCTGCTGCACCGTGCCTGTGTGCTAATAATTACACAAAATCTGCTTGGATGACTGTTTAAAAGGTTCATTTAACTGCATAAACAGAATATCTTAAAAAATTACAATTTCATGAATTTAGAATATTCATCTGTACTTGATTTCAGTGTGTCCCTCTTTCATCTAGGAGAAGTGTCAAAAGATTCCAATGGTTTTATAGTCACCTGGACAATGTTTTTAACTTCTGGATTGGCGGTGAAATCATCTTGAGCTTATACTGTACGTCTACACCTTTGAATCTTATTTTTTATCTATTTATTTATTTTCAAGAATATTGTGATGTCTGTGTTGTCCAGGAAGGTTACATAGCAAAAGGAAAATTCTATTCTGTTTCTTTTTTTAGAGTGAAGATGTTTGGCTGCTCGTCCAAGCCGCTTCTTTTGTCCAGTCTGAACTGAATTTTTCTTTTGAGTTTCAACAATGTTCTTTGACATACAGAAGGAAAGGTCCAATATCATCAACACTACACCTTTGAAATGTTTGATAACAATCTTGATTTGAGACTGCTTTCAATATTCTGATGATTCTGAACCTGGAATATTCCACTGTATATATTTTGCATTTATTGAAGTACACAGGCGTTTCATGGCTTAAAAACTTGAAAAACATGCTTTCTTTTTGAGAGCAGAGATAACTTACAGTAAATGCCATTCATTTGAACATTTCAGGCAAAGAAATGATATAATGATGATCTCCATGGAGACGAGCAGGTACCAAAGTGAATAAATCAAAATAATCCAAACTCTTTTTTGGCAGTGCAAAGGATGCTCTGCTGTCAGAATGAAGTTTACAGGAGTGTTGTGTTTTATTAAAATGCATATATCTTCTAAAGACAGGACAAATGAGTGTACAGGGAATCTACTCGGATGCCCTCCCAGCGAGGAGAGGTTCAGACTGCATCAGAGTTACTGTCCTTTGAGAGAGATATTCAAAGAAAAATGTCGGCAGTCTTGATTTCCACTTTCAATATTCACTCAAACACTGCCAAAGGCGACTCATTTAATAGTGCTGGATTTAATAAAATATGACATTCAGATGTGGGATCTCTAATTGTCCACTGTCCATCGGCCAGATTAATTAAAGTGTCGCATGAAATATTTATATCAATGCACTTTTCACGAAAACTTTGGGGAGAACTTCCTGGGAACAGATTTGGTTTAATGACATTTCAAATAAAAATCCCTATGTATTGTATTACATTAATGAGCTAATATGAGAGACAGGAAATGGGCTGTGTTCACCGGACATCACAATATTTTAAAAACCTTATAGTTTAAAGGTCTTATATTACACAAATCTGACTCTTGTGAGCTTTAAATCCTGTTATTATACTGTTACCTCATCAAAAGAATACTGGAGTTGCGTTTTGTTTCATTCACACGTGTTTGAGTAACCCTTTATTATTGGTCTTGATTTTGTCTTCATTTCAAATACTCAAAATGCTCTGTTCCACCTTGTGATGTCACGAAGTGGTAGTTTTCAAATTAACAGCACCCTTTTACCTTTTGAGATCGGCAGTTCCAGGGTTGAAATGATCCAGATGATTCTAATGACAGTGTATAACTCCATACACAGTCACTAGAATCATCTAAAAACACAGTGGAGCACGTCCTGTATTACCACATGACATCACAAGGTGGAACAGTGTGTTGCTGCCTTTTGAAAGAAGAACTGTAACTCTCTAAATTTGTGGGGTCTGTGTGTAAAACATGTGTGAATGAAAAAAACAAACAAACAAAAAAGTCCAGGTACGTCTGAGATGAGGAAACATAACATCAGAGTACCATATATCTTACTTCATATATTTGTTGTATATATTCTGTATGTATAAAAACTGTATGCAATTTACACAAGTTTAACCTGATAAAACCCACATTCCTTTCCTATTAATAATTTACATAGCCTCACATTGTACGTACTGAATCACAGCAGATGTTTATTAATGTGCGTACAGAAGACATTAAAACATTGCTAATGTTATAAAAAGAGTGCTTTATATAGAAGGCTTTTTGACATTTTGACTTTCCTCTCCAACATGAAATATTGATGTCCTTGGCCCATTTTAGTGGACACATAAAAGTTTTAACTCTGCCCAACTTACCCAGTGACAGATGGTAACTACAAAGTCCAGACCATAAACCACATGGCAAGAAGAGCAAGTCCTTACAAGTGACTATTAAAATAAAACTATTGCTATTTTATTACTAGGCAAACTCAATAAGAAAGAAAGGATTTGTAAAATGTGTTTGTACTACCACAGTAAAAATGTTGTATGTTTAACTTTTGGTTCTCTTTTAATGTTAATTTTATGATGATTATTTATGTTTTAATTAGTTTGTATTGTGATTTTAATGTCTTTCTTATTCTGTAAAGCACTTTTAATGACTTTGTGTATGAAGTGCTAAACAAATAAACTTACCTTACCTTAACTTGCCTTGATTTGAAGTTCTTACAACTTTGTCCACAGTCAGAGCTATACTGCTTAAAAGTATCTATGCCCTTCAAAGTTATGATGAATTAGCCCAGTTGCCATAGCGATTAGTAACTCAAAACGAAATATTATATCTTTTAAATGGGCTGAAGTCCTCAAAATGTCGCCAATAACAGGAAGTTGAAAGCTATTGTTAAACTGATACATTGCCTCATTATATTCCCTTTTACTTTTTAATTAAGACAGTATATCTTAAATTAACTTACGCTTTTAATACCCAATTGTAGAAACTATTTTAAAAAAGAAAAATGACAGGATGAAGGTTTTATTCGATTTGCCTTTTGTTATTACTAAATCATAGAAATTACGCAGTTCCAATGTCTTTACATTGACCTATTACTTTTCTATCAAAAGATTATAATTACACCATCATTCCAAATACTTCTGTGGAATTGACTCATCTGGACTTGTAGTAACACTTTTATGCCAGTAGAGGGCGCAGTCTACCCACAGCTAAGCCTTCACTCGCCGCTCAGCACATCTCTCTCCCAGCATGCTTTAGTGCTGGTCTGTGTACACATGCGTTTGGACAGATTGCAGTCGTTAATACTGGGTCCCTGGTGTGTTCTTGTTCCACGTGTTTATCTCTTACCTGGCTGGTGTGGAGCCAGTACTGCAGAGTATTTGCCCTGCGCAGTCGGGGGAGGATCAGGTGATAAAAGGTGTGCTCTCCCGCCAAGGTCAACAAGGCTCCGCCCACGCCCATACACAGCAAGCACGAAGAGGCCAGAGAAGTGCTGGATGCCCATCTGCAGAGTCTGGGGGCAGAGAGGAGAGAAAGGGCCAAGGGTTAGTTAGAAATATAAAGGAGGTCAAAATGATTCAGGTTGTTGATCAGTTTGATTCTACACTCATAAAGACTTTATTAAAGGTGTGCTCTGTAATTTTCTGGCGGAGGGCCCATCAACTGCTTCTCTCTGTGCAGATGTTGCCAGGAATCATAGCCTGTATAAAGAAGTGGACTAAACGAATGTGACGTCACCCGTAGAGTTCGGCTGCCCTCAAATAAAGTGCTAACAGTTACAGGAGCGAATTTGGGTCTAGATTATGAAAAGGATTTTTTAACGGAGAAAATAGCAGAAAAACATACCAGGATCACGTAGAGCGGGTTAATACGAACATTTTAAGACCAAAATGACACGACTGACAGCGGCAGTTGTAGGGCGAGGGACAAAAATATTCCAATGTAAGTCAGAAGGAGCCGGAAGCGCCCGCATGCGAACTTTCTATTTGGAACGCAGCGACTAGCCCGTTACCTATGTCTATTTATATATACAGCCTATACCTGGAATGTTTCACAGTGTGGCATTACATTTATTTATCTCTACAGAGACAGCAGGTGATGCTAAAGGGCCAAGTTACATCAGATCTGTGGTGAAGCGAGCCCACTAACAAAAAGAACGCAAGTTTTTAACCAATAGAAAAAAAACACATTGGATGGATACATTTAATGCCATACCAGGATATTCTAGACAAAACAATATCATTTCCATGGAGACAAGCAGGTCTGCAGAATGCACAGTGCACCTTTAACTGCGTCATACTTGTTACATTTGATACTGACACCGTGTGCTTTATAGTGCTATCAGAATCAGAATCAGAAAAAGGTTTACAGCTATTTTCAGAGAATATAACTCACAAACTAGGATCTTGCTTCAGGGGTATGGTACAACATAAAACAATGAATAGTAAATATAAACAATGAATAACAAAAATAAAAATGATGATGTGCAATAAAACAAGGTGAATAAAAATAGACTTTGATATACAAATACAAAAAATATACAGTACGGGCAGAACAGTGCAAGGAGATTCATTATAGTTGATAGTGTTTCATCGAAAATTGACTGTCGCTGTGCCAAAAACACCCAGTCCTTCTTAGGTATAATACTCCCTACAACAGAGGCAGAAGCCAGACTTGAACAGGCAACCTTATCAAAATGTCTTGAGGGTCAAAGGTCTTTAAAGTAAACGTCTCCAGCCTCATGTCTCTTCTTACAACGCTTGAGATGCTTCACTTTATTCTACAAAAGTGTCAACAGTGTCATCTCAAAACTGTTTCGATACTAAAGAATAGATGCAATATTCAGTACTGATTTCGATACCACAATGATAAAAAACACTAGACATACACAAAGTGATTTTACACACAACATAAAAAGTAATTTCCTTCTATTTTCTTGTTCTGAGTGTAACTTTGATACCTGTTTCAACATTGATAACTTTCAACATTTCTGTCTGATATCAACATCATTAGTTCTAAAAATGTGTTTTTAATGTGTATTTTTGTACTATTCAGTGCAGGAAAAGCTCTACGAGGGACAGAAGCTGAGAATTAGTACTTGCTACACACTCTTTATGCCACGTCAGCTGCATACTCTGCGTGTGACTATATATGACTGCAATGTCCCTGTCAAATAGATAATTAACGTCAATCACTATTTCATGTTTGCATTGCTTTTTCCTTATGACCTCTTGCATATGGCTGAGAGATATATTGGTATTACAATATATATTTATATTTTTACTTGTGTATATAATTATACCTCATTTATATTGAATTAATTACTACTATTTACATTTGCTCTTTGTTATTATTATATCTGTGTATTAAATAAACAAATTCCAGTGCTGAAAGTGAAAGTATTTCTGTCCCTAAAACAAAATCAATAGTAATATTCAAGTAAATCTGATAAAACATGACTCAACATTACTGAATACATCAAATCAATAACATCTGCAGCCTTTTACCATCTAAAAAACATAGCAAAAATCAAAGGTTTTCTGTCTAAATCAGACTTGGAGAAACTTATCCATGCGTTTGTCTCCAGTAGATTAGATACTGTAATGGTCTGCTCACTGGTCTCTCCAAACGAGCTGTGAGACGCTGCAGAACATCCAGAACGCTGCAGCTCGGGTCCTTACTCGAACTAGGAAGTACGAGCACATAAGTCCTGTGCTCAGGTCTCTGCACTGGCTTCCTGTGCCTCAGAGAAGAGACTTTAAAACAGCTCTGCTTGTACAAGTCTCTCCATGGCCGAGCACCAAAGTCCATCTGTGACATGTTAGTGTCGTATGAACCATCTCACACTCTGAGGAGCTCAGGGACCGGCCTCCTGCTGGTGCCCAGAGTCACGACTAAACAAGGGGAGTCAGCGTTTCAGGTTCATGCAGCTAAAACCTGGAACAGTCTTCCTGAACATGTGAGACAGACTCTTCTGTGACGCTGTTTAAATCCAGGCTCAAAACATTTCTGTTTAACTGTGCATATAACTGAAAGGTTTTCATTCCGCACTCTTCTCTCCAATTTATGTCTCCCTTTTTTAATTTTAATCTTCATGATTATTTATGTTTTGATTTGTTTTTATTATGATTTTAATGTATTTCTTATTCTGTAAAGCACTTTGAATTACTTTGTGTACGAATTGTGCTATACAAATAAACTTGCCTTGCCTTGCCTTACAACACAGAACTTGAACTTAAACTGCACGACACGCTGCTGTGAAAATATGATTCAGTTAATCAATGGATTCATCTGTTCAAATACCCCACATCTGACACAGTATTCTTCTAGATCAATAACATTATCCGATCAGTACATTTGAAAGGATATCTGACGTCAATGTAGCCCTGTGCCAGTTCTATAAGAGTCAAGGCTAATCACTACTACATTGTGTCGTTCTGATTCTCAACATATAGGGAGTCACATAGGAGCGAGCGGAAAGAGGAAGTATGAGGAGGGGTGCGGGGGGTGACAGTGATTAGTTGCGACTGATGCCGACAGACTGGGGAATGCGGAGACGGATGAGATAGTATTTACATAATTACCAGTTAGGAAAGACAATGTGCAGTTTGTATTCAGCTGTAGATCTTTAGTGTGGGCCCACACGTCATAAATAAAGAGGTGGACACATTCACTGTGAAGTTAGCTTTAAAGGCGCACTGTGTAACTTTTCTGGTAGAGGGAGCGTCAGTTGCTTGTCTCCATGAGGATGTTATTGCTTTACCTGCAGTGATCCAAAGTATCCAAGTTAAACTTCAGTCATTCTCCACAGAAACACACAGGAGACGCCACCAGGACAATTTACTTGGGGTGTAATGATATCTAAGTCTCACGGTACAATATCATCACGGTATGAACCTCACGGTACGAGGTTTATTGCGATATCGTGGGAAAGCTCACGATACGGTGGGGAGGCTCATGGTTAAAGATGTAATGATATCCAAATCTCACGGTACGATATTTATTACGATTTTCTGTGGAGGTGAACAAAACTGTGAATATGCTACTTTTTCCTCTTAAAATGCCTCGACAAGACTTAATTCAAAGAACTAAGACTTAAAAGTGTTTAGAACTGTTATTTCTTCAGGTATTCTATACTAAAATGGAGCAAAGGATCATGGTCTATATAGTTCCCTCTGTCTTTTATTTATCAATTGCTGCACCATAACTCTTAATTTAAGCAAAGAGACTTGTAATTCGATATATTGTGATGGTCTACAATATTATTGTGAGAACTTTGACGATACGATATCACGATATTTCGGTTAATGCTACCTCCCTACACTTTACAGGTGAGATCTGTGAAGAGGTGACCCCACTTACAGTAAGAATGCATGTTTTTGCAGGTCTTGAGCAATAAAAACACCCATAATGGAATAAAAGCATCTTATATAAGTTTATTGCTATATTAAATCTCTATGGTAGCAGACCCCGAACCTGAAAAGTTCCGCAGTGCACCTTTAAAATGTTCTATACTTTCTTCTATTGTTCTTTTTTCTATACTGTGTGTGTGGATCGTTAGACTTTAAAGATTTTGTAATTTTTGTGTTTATACCACATGTGAAATCCAGACACTTATTTTGGTTGAACTGAGAAATATTGTGATCTCCATGGAGACAACATAACACAATATTTACATTATGTAGCTTTACAGAAACACACCAATACAGTCCATCTTTCTGTAATCTCCTCACTAAAAGGCAAGCACACTAACCAAACTATTTGAAGAACAAGAACCTTTTCACATATCACTGCTATTTTAACAAATCAGTCCTTTTACTTAAGAACAGACTGTCTTTTTTTTTCTAGCGGCAGAGAAAATGTACAGTCTAATAACGTAAGCGACATGAGTGGTCTGGGAGTGCGGAGCCTAAATCAGAGCAGCAGCAGAGAGCGGAGGAGGAGGAAGGGAGGAAGGGGACAGGACATAATGTTTAATTGAAGAAGAAGAAGAAGAGTTTGTTCCCATTTGCACATCTCTGTCACAGCGTCTATCTGTAAGGCTCTCCTCCTCTCAGGGCACCGTTGAAAAAGCTAGACCCGGTCCCCTGTTCTATAATATCACTTCCACGGGCCCCGCTTCATTTCAGCATCGCCGCAAATGGTAATTAGCCTCACGCTGACTCGACAAATTCGTCAGTGACAAGAGTGACCCTGTGCTGCTCCCCATCCCGAGGGCAGTACCACAATCCCGCTATTACACGTGCCTCCAACGCGTCCTGCGGGCTGAACTTAAGGTTGTGGTTTTCTCAGAAGGAGCCACAACTGTGTAATTGCTTTTTTATAGGCATGTGCTTTGATTTGATTGTGGAGTGGAGTGTGTATTGTGATGGCAGAGTGGTTAGCCCTTTGACACTCCATAGTCAATATTACACCATTTTCTGATCTGCTATAATAATGTTTCCTCAACTAAAACAAACCCGCTGTTGTGTTTTGTTTCATTCACAAATGTTTAACACACAAACCCTGCACACAATCCTTTAGGTTCAGTTCTTCTCTCAAACAGAAAACACTCTGTTCCACCTTGTGATGTCATGCAGTAACACAGAAAGTGTATTACCACAGCGTTTATAAACTCCATACACTTTCATTAGAATCATTTGGATAAGTTCAGATCTGGGATTGCCAAGCTCTGCTGAACAAAAGGTAAACGGCAGCTGTTAACTTGAAAACTATGCTTCATGACATCACAAGGTGGAATATACAGCATTTTGAGCTTTGGAGATGTAAACAGACTAATAATAAAGGGTTACTCTAACATGTGAATGAAACAAAACACAATTTCAGGTATGTTTTTGAGGAGGTAACAACATCATAAAATGGCTTAGAGCAGCGTTTCCCAAACCTTTTTTTCTGGGGACCCATATTTTAAAAGTCACAAACCTTCGCGACACAAGTTAATAAACATTATTCGTAAATCAAAAAATAAATTTGTGACCATTATTGAACATTAATGAGGATATTTTGTTGTTGACCGAATGATAGCGTCTCTCTGAACAATTAGTATTAATCAAGTTTTAAACAATGAAAAACAGTAATCAATGTTTCCCACAGAAAACTGATTAGGCAAGGCAGTGCTGCTGAAAAAGTGCACGGAAAAGAAGTGAGGAGCGGAGGGTACGCGGAGGTGTATGTGTATGTACCTACATGCAGCTCATGAAAACACAACTCAAAAATCTAAAAATCTCTTGTGAGCCAGTCTTTGGGAAATAATGGCTTAAAGCTCACAAGAATCCATTTTGTATAATATAGGACCTTCACATCTAAAGTAAAAACAGTCTTATGTATAAATTCTCCTTTAACTGAAGAGGTTAATGCAGGCATGTCCAAACTATGGCCTGTGGGCCAAATGCAGCCATCAGACATTTTTTTCTTGGCCCTCAGGCTTCCAGGTGAATTGGCCCAAATTACCTTGCATCAATTAAAAACTGACTTTTTACTGCAATAAAAAAAAAAAAAATCTACCCTGATAAAGCTAATAGTAATATTTAGTGTGTGGTTTTAAGGATCTTAGCATGAATAAAGACTGAGGGCTCCTTCTAACGTGTTAAAAATGCACATATTTCAATTATTCACTGTATTGAGCACCAGTCTACGGCCCTAGATCGGCCCTCTGCCTCGTCTGTGTTTAGATATGTGGCCCTTGATGAAAAAAGTTTGGACACCCCTGGGTTAATATATCAACTCCAGAACAACAACCAAACTAAATAAAGCAGCTGAAATCTGGTAGGGCATCTGGCAACAAAACTACACATTACAATGTAAATACCTGGATGCAGTTTTTGTACCTAACATGGTACAAACACTGGTCACTCCAAATTACTCTTTTATCAATAGGTTTCACAGTGGAGTAGTGGTTAAGCCCCACAACAGAAAGGTTTTGGGTTCCATTCTCATGCCAGTCCTTTCTTTGTGGAGTTTGCATGTTCTGCTTATGCCTGAGTAGCTTCTTCTACCACAATCTTGATTCAGACAATTTCATTATTAAAGCAAATATCCAACCCAATCCACTACCAACTGTAATGTTTAGTGCACACAAAAAAAAGAAAAAAAATAACATAAATAAATAAATAAACATGATCCATCAGTGCTCATAAAAATAATACTAAAACCCTAAAATGATAACTAGAGGCTAAATTCAATAAAAGCAGTTAAAATAAATAATAAATGAATAAATGAATGAATAAAATGATGTATTCAAATATAGCCCACTAAATGGAAACTGTCTGCCTAAAAAAGCAAGATATTACTTCCAAAAACAGGATTGGGTTGCCAGATAGTAGCCTGGACTAACCCTCCACCTGATCAGTGCAAGTTTGTCTTACATTTTATATAACATAAAGCACCTATACACCACAGACTGCGAGCGTATGGTTGGGTCCAGACACTCCAGATCAACCTCTATTATGTGTGTAGTGGTGGAAAACGGGCTTGGATGGTTTGAGTGTGATTCTGACGAGATGGGCAAACAGACTTGTATAGCCCAAATAGGCGAGAGGGATGAAAGAGGGTGCCATCTTGAGACTTCAACTTTTCTAAAGAGGTGCAAACAGGAAGGGGCCCGAGAACGGTGAGTACTCTGCTCCGCCACAAATAAGTGTCTTCTCCACTCAGCTCTAAGTGTCTGTATCTCTGCTTAGGGGCAGAAAATAGACCCAGAACTGTGCGATACTGGAGGGCTCCTGTCTGGTCACCTGTGTTTGTGTGTGTGTGAGTGTGTGTGTGTGTGTGAGTGTGTGTGGGGGTGTGTGGTGAGAGGGGCGCAACCAATTCAGCCAATGTCCCTGAGGTAGAGACTCATTTACGGACATGCCACAGCTCTGGTTGGCACACAATGCACGTCCAAACAGCAACAAAAGTAAACATGCTCTCTCTCTTTCTTGTTTTCTCTCCCTTTCGTTCTCTGTTGCACTTTCTCTCTCTCCGTCTCTGTGTGCGTGTCTCTCTACCTGTGTCTCTCTGTGAGTCCCTCTCTCTCTGTCTCTCTTTGAGAGTCTCTCCCTGTCTGTCTCTTTATGTGTGTGTCTCTCTCTCCTGGTCTCGGTCTGTCTCTCTCTCTGTTTCTCTCTGTGTCTCTCTCTGTCTTTCTCTTTACCTCTGTCTCTCTCTGTGTCTGTGTGTCTCTGTCTCTCTCTATCTCTCTGCTTCTCTCTCTGTGAGTCTCTCTCTCTCCCTGTCTCTATCTGTCTCTCTCTGTGTCTCTGTCTTTCTCTGTGTCTCTGTGCCCCTGTCTCTCTCTTTGTGTCTCTGTCTCTCTCTGTCTTTCTCTCTACCTCTATCTCTCTCTGTGTCTCTGTGTCCCTGTCTCTCGCTTTGTGTCTCTGTCTCTCTCTATTTCTCTGCTTCTCTCTCTGCGTGTCTCGGTTTCTCTCTGTGTGTCTCTATGGCTACGTTCAGACTGCAGGGCTTAATGCTCAATTCCGATTTTTTTGTGAAATCCGATGTTTTTGCGAGGTCGTTCACATTTCCAATTAAATGCGACTTGTCTGTGACTTCAGTGTGAACGGTAAACGGCCCGAAAGTGTCCCGCATGCGCACTGGAGGACACGATGACGTCAACCGCAGCGAGCGTGCTCTGTGTTTACGGAAGTTGTCCAAATATGGTCGCGAGCATTGAGCACCTGGCGATTTTACAGTTCCGGTTTCCGCCTGCTTCAGCGCAGAATAGGGACGTTTGTCGCTTGTTAATGACGTGTAGGTCGGATGAATGCGCTTTGGCCGTTCAGACTGAAGTCGCATGTCAAAAGATCGGATATGTATCGGATTCAGGAGCACATATCCAAGTGTCCTGGGTCGCATTTGAAAAATTCAGATCTGTGCCGTTCAGACTGTCATTAAAAGATCGGATACAGGTCACATAGAAGCCAAAAAATCAGATTTGGGTAACTTCAGGCTGCAGTCTGAACGCAGTCTCTGTCTCTCTCTCTGTCTCTTTCTCTGTGTCTCCCCGTCTGTCTCTTTCTGTGTGTGTCTCTCAGTCTCTGTGCCCTCTCTCTCTGTCTCTCTCTGTATGTTTTTTTTCTCTCTCTCTCTCTCTCTCTGTTTCTTTCTCTCCCACTCATTTTCTGCCCCCCTCTTTCTTTCACCCCCCCGCCCCCTCTCTTTCTAAAGAGGTTTGGATGAAATTCACTGCAAAATGTTTTTACGAACACAATAAAGTTCTGCTAAAAATCAAAATCTCTCTCTCCCTGTTTCTTCATTTCACTCTCCCCCTCCGTTGTATCTTTCTTTATTTCTCTCCCCTCTCTCTGCATCTTTGACAGTCACAATCAAATGTAAACAACCCCCACCGCCCTCATTGTCTCTCTCTCCCTCTCTTTATTTCAGTCTCCCCCTCTTTCTATTTCCTTTTCTTTGAGTCTCTCTCGCTCCCCATCTCTCACTCTTTGACAAACACAATGAAAAAGTAAACGAACCCCTCTCTCTCTCATTGACTCTCTCTCTCTCCCTCCCTTCCGTCTCTCTGTTCCTCTCTCTTTATTTATTTTATTTCTCTTTATTTCTCTCTCCCTCTTTTCTATCTCTTCTTCTCTCCCTCTTTGACGGACACAATCAAAAAAGACCCCCCTCTCGCTCGCTCCCTCTTTCTTTTGCTTACCTCTGTCACGGCGAACACTCTCTTCCCACAGGGCACCACCTTGTACCATTTGTCGTGGAGCATGTCCATGAATCCGTCAGACTTGTAGCGACTCACGAACTCTGACACGTTTCGAGTGAGCGGCGAGCCCTGTGGCAGTCCGATACCGTAGCCTGTAAGGGACAAAAGAGAAGGGCAATTAAGCACTTAAGTAAATACAAAAATGACTACAAAAACTACCAGTTGGTACCAGTTTGAGCGATTGATTGATAATGACGAAAAAAATCACATGAAAGGACAAACTGAACCTTTTCATAATTGTTTTAAAAAGAACTTGATCAATAGCAGAAGTACTGTATGACCACAAGGGACTACTTAATTCTATTTTTCATTTTTCGTTGAAATTTTATTATCGTGACAAAAGTTTGAGCCAGTCACTGTTCTATGGGGACTGGGTATCTGAGGTTTAAATGTTTGGTAACATATTCTACTCCATGAACCAGGAAGCCCTCTTCAGTGCTCTCCATTTATTATTCAGCAATCTACGCTTGTTTTGACAGATTTATCTTTGGTTTGACACTAAATTAAATGTTTTATCTGTTGCTATGTGTTTAATTGCCTCTTTGTTAGGTGTCCTTCGGTGCCAACAAAGAAAACAATAAATCATTATTAAAAAGCCAAACAAACACGCACCCCAGATGAGAATACAAACAGACTTTGATTATTTGTTTTCACCATTACACTAAAAGGTGCAGTAGGTATGCCATCTGATTGTCTCTATGGAGATAATACTGTCTAGAATGTTCCATAGTATCCCAATTCCCAATAATTTACCAATCTCTTCAAGGACAAAATCAGGTGCAACAATCAGATCAAGTTACAGGTCAGATTTGTGGAGAGGAGCTCACAGCAAGCTTTTTTCAATTCAATACAGTAAAGTTTATTTACCTTGTTTACATGTTTAGGCTGCTGCTGCTGCTGCTGCATCTTCAGAAGTGTCACCGGTGTTGGTGGTGATGTGTCATATATCAGCTGTTGTTACTTTGACCTGGCAGGTCGCTCAGACTGACCACGCTTCCCATCGCCTGGTGCTCTCTGGAGGAGGGTGTCCCAGGTGTGTGCCTCCCTGATCCAACGTTTGAACTTGTTCTCCCTTGTTCTTCACCAGGCGATGAGAAGCGTGGTCAGTCTGAGCGATCTGCTGGGTCAATCAGGCTGACCACGCCTACAGGAAGTAACTCATACACAACACGGCACCACCAACACCGGGGACAGTTCTGAAGATGACAGCAACTAGAGCCAAAACACATCAACAAGGTAGATACACTTTACTGTACTGTTTTTAAAAAATAACTCAAGGAGTTAAAGTACACAAGAAGACAAAATGAACATTTTAGGTTTAAGCATTTTTAAGGTGAGGAATAGAAGCACAATGCTCTCTATATCTATAAGTCATACTGTTGGAAATACCAAGCAAAGCAATGTCTCCATGGAGACAAGCAAGTGATGGACCTTCAACCAGAAAAGTTACAGTGCACCTGGTCTGCTGGAGGGTCCATCACCTGCTTGTCTCCTTGGAGATGTGTCTAGAATGTTCCACAGTATGGTCATAAACTTTAGAATCTCTCTGGAGACTTTCAAGTCAAAGTACAGATAAAATTTGTAGAGAGACACCACCACTCAAAATAAGAATAAATGTTTTTTAATATATATTTTTGAGCAATAAATAACACCTCAACTGACTTAAATTAAGAACATTTGACTTTATTTGAGAAGATTCAACATGACAAGTAAAATTATCTACTAATGAAATAAGTGCGTTTACAAGCAACATTCGATTCAGTTTCTTATTTTAAGTGCAAAGAGTTGTTGTTTTTCTTATCTCAAGTATAGTAAGATGTATTTTCATATTTTAAGTACAAAAAGTCTTGTTCCACTGGTAGATCATTTTACTTGTCAAGGGAAATTTACTCAAATCATGATAAAAAATGTCTTAATTCAAGCAATCTTAACTTGGCTAGATTTTCATTTTTGCAGTGCTGCAGTTGAATAAAAGCAAGACAGATTAGTTTAATACCATACTGTGAACAATATAAACCAAAACATTAACATCTCCATGGAGACAAAGAGGTTGCGGACCCCCTCCAGAAAAGTTACACAGTGCACCTTTCAGCAGGGACAGTTGTCAGTAACGCTATCTTTATATTTCTGAACTCCAGCAGTGTGCGCAAACCACAGATTGAAAACCACCGCAGCGGGTCACGAAAAGGCAATTGCGGTCACCATATTGCAGCTATAAAAGATGAAAACATAAAAAGTATCTAGTGCGCTGGTCTCCCGTCTTTTCATAGCTGTATCCACTGCAACAGTAAAAGTAACAGCCTCAGGACCATGTTGCAGGGATATTTTTCTACCTAAAACCAAACATGTAGTTAGCCAAAAGGCACGTACCCTCTGGAAAAAAAAAGATTTACCGTTTTACACTAGTCCTCTCAGATCTCTATGTGCAACAGACAGCATTCACCTCCTGTTCTTATGTAAGGAAACAAAGCCGGTCGGGGGTGTCCCTAGTGGTGCATCGCTGATTAAATTCTCATATTGTCTTTTGTCTTTTATCGCTTGCCATATTTCCTCCGAGTGTGTTGTCTCGGGAGCTTCGCACAACAAACTGTGAGTAAATCTAAAGCTGGAACAGGGCCTATATATTGGCAGTTATCTGTTTCTATGCGCTCACAATGTCACAAAAGGTAATGGCCAGAGCTGTAACCTGTGCACTGAACTAGACCGAGGAGACATTTTAGGAATAATGATCCCAAATGTGCCTCTTGGGTCCCCGCAAGAGAATTTAAAGTAATAGACGGAAATGTATTGCTGCTCAAGGTCAGATTTTACAAAGTGGAATAAAAGTTTTGTGTATAAATTGAACTAAACTCAGGTTGAGCGTTCACCCACCTACCAGAGAGTTGCCGGTTTCAATCTCATTATAGCTCCTAGTGCTGCTGTGTTCCGGGGCGAACGTTTCACAAATATTGCCGAGTCCTGTCATAGTAAGTGTGATTGGATGGATGGGCAATTGGCATAAAAACAAAATCTTCCAAATCATCAGTAAATGGTTTCTGTGGCAACTCTGACAAAATAATGGAATAAGGGGAATAGTCTATAAAAATGAACAACCCCCATACTGTACAAAAACATTATTACTGTATTTTTTGGACTATTATTCACACTTTTTTCATGGTTTGGGTGGTCCTGCAATGATAATAAAATTTTCACACTAACAGCTATAAGAGGGCGCTCTAGGCTTGTGTGCCAGAATCTGCTCCTCCTGTTACTCCTGTACCACTTTCACTTCACTCTTCACTCTGTCTCCAGCAGAAAGAACCACTGTCCTGTCTGTATCATGTCAGTCAATCGCACCATTACTTTTGCACCACTGAAATTTTAAACAAACTTATAAAGACGACTGAGAAGACTGAACACAAATGCCCCAAAAAGAAAATCATATTATGCAGATTACAAGCTGCAAGCAGTGAAATATGCAGCGGAAAATGGAAATCGAGCAGCAGAAAGAAAGTTTGGAGTGAGTGAGAAACTTGTGACAACTGAGAGGGTGCGCCATGCAACCTTCCTGGAAGTCATTGGATGGATGGACAAAGCCTGAACTTCAGTGACAACCAAAACCATCCTGTCGGGATTCAGAAAGGCCGGAATAATTCTAACTGGAACTGATGCTGAGTTTGATGACAGCTAGGCAGAAGTGGAAGCGATGCTCTGTTTACCTTCGGAGGTCGCAGAGTTGCTCAGAAGTGACACAGAGGATGAAGAATTCAGTGGATTTAATGATTTGAAGGGAGATGGAGAGTTTGGTAAACTTGCTATGTTATGTTATTTATACTATAGTTATCTGAAGAACTGTTCATATGTGACGTTAACAGTCTGTTGTTCTCTGTTCTATTGTTATTACTATAACTTGCTTTTCAAGATAAATGTCAGTTCCTGATCTCTGATTTTATAAAATAAATTTCCCCCAAAAAGTCTGACTTACAAAAAAACGGTATATTAAAATTAGAGGTCTTAAAGTTTCCTTATGTGTGGGGGTCTGCTACCTCTTTGTCTTTGTAGGATGTTCCACAAAATTCCATAAAACATATATATCTTGCATTTGTTCAATTACACACAAACACACTTAATAATTTCTAAGATGAGCAGGTGGTAGATCCTCCACCAGAAAAGTTACACAGAGCACCTTTAATTAATATCCTATACATTAATACTAAAACTAAATTTCTAGCCAGGGGTGTACAAACTTTTTTTTTGTGTCTTTTTCAAGGGCTACATATTAACACAGATTAGAATGAGTCACCAGATCTTTAGTCATGCTTTTGCTCCTCAACAGGACACACTAAATATAGACTAGATATCAGCTTTATCAAGGTACATTTTCAAAAACTTACAGTCAAAATCACTGTTAAAGTAATATTTCCCCTTTCTCCTCATCTAGCAGATTTCACAAAGACCCCTGCTGTGTTTACCTCTGCCATTGTCTGGTGAGAATTTATCAATACACATGAGAAAAACATAAGACAGGGTCAAATATTCTGAAGCCACAAAACCTTGTAGGACGACAGAACAGTGTTGAAGGGTTTTTGGACAGTGTATTTGAAAGTTATGATTCAAACTTTAAGAACAACGATTTTCCTTAATATCACCTGGAGCAACAATTATAACGCCTGGCTTCCATTCGGGTCAGTGAAGGTTAAATAAAGCATAAGCAATGAAAAGCCCAAAAAAGCTTTAAATGGCCGTGGGCTTTTTTACAAGATGGTTTTAGTTTCATGTGTTATTTCAGTCAGAGAACATGGTCTGAATCTACTTGTGATCACAATTAAAAAGACCAATCACCTTTAAATGCGGTATGGTGTTATTGTAAAAAGTATCCTACCTAATTATAACACAGTGAAGAAGACTTATTAGACTGCAGTTAAAAGTCTAGCCCAAATTGAATCCATATACAATAATAGTGCTGTATTTTTTGGATTATAAGTCACACTTTTTTCATGGTTTGGGTGGTCTTGCGACTTATAGTCCGGTGCAACTTATATATCCAAATTTTCACACTGACAGCCACGAGAAGGTGCTCTAGGCTTATGCTACTATCTGCTGCTCCTATTAC